TGCAGCAGCTTTAGTGGTTTGCTAGTCTTTGCATGTGTAACAGGAACACTCATAGCTTCTTTCCACCATTCCTTTTTCCAGTCAGAAAGCTTCTGTTATTCCCCAAAAAAGACTATGCCATCACTATCCCCACCACCATTTGGCATGAATGGTATTTGCAATAAAGATACAGGTCATTATCCATTATCAGATCTGACATTCCGTTCATAATCAATGAAATTTACTTACCCAGTTTTGAGCTGGCATTGGCATCATATCTGTACAGAAAACTTCCTCTGTATTACCATATTCAGGGAAAGTTACAATACATGTTAATCCATTAGGACCTGTGTTCTCAATCACAGCTGGGTAAAACTACAAACAAATTAGCACGTTGAAAATTCAAAATCTGAAGAATGTACACCAAAAATTAATTTTGAAGTGTTTCTTATGCACATTCTTTGAGTGAAGTTTCAAAAAATCAACATTTCAAAAAACAAATTACATTACTTCAGCTAATAAGGGTATAGCTCTTAAGGGATTGTAAAGAGGATTTCTAAATCTTTTATGCTTATCCAATTATTCCAATTTTCAATTAGATGTCTGTGGTTCCTGCAGTTTCACTAAAACTAAGTGTTTTATGACGTCACCCCCGCAAAATTTGCTTGTATCACATAAGGCCTTTGTGGGGATGACTTCATAAAACACTTTGTTTTAGTAGAATTGCTACAACCACAGATGTCAGATTGAAATTTTGATTGGCACAAATTGATGCTGTCAGTGTCCCTGACAGACATACAAATTTTAGAAAACTTCGTTACAATACCTTGAAGCCTTTCTGGGTACTAACCAAAAACAAAGGAAAAATACTACATACCTGTTTGTCCTCCCAATATTTAGCTAAACACATTTCACCTCTACTCCATGATGAAACATTCCTTGTCTGAAACAAACAGTGTCAAAAGAAATTTTAAAGATGGGTTCCCTTATTTTCATAAATGAAAATGCTAATACTTATATGAATAGAAAGTAGAAGTGTTCTAATGCCTTTGAAAAATACCAGTTTGTCTCACATGTCTATAATTAATTCATAATTAGCTAAATTAGAAGAGAATTACCAGCAGAATTCTGATCAAGAAAGGTCAAAAAGTCTTTTTTTGTTTATCCAGACTGTACATACACGTACATTTATGATTGGTTTAAACTCTTAATAATATGCAATAAGAACATAATGATATGATTAAAATACATGATAATTCATTAGAAACAACAATTAATCAAATAGTTTGCTTAATTTGTCAATAAAATATTAGGAAACCCATCTTTAATAACATGGGTACATTGATAGTATACAAGCCATTTTGCTTTCAGATGGGTACCCACTTTCTTTATTTATTCATCAGTTATCAGTGGATGCATGACGAAGACTTTATCAATAGAGAACATAGATATTCAATACATTAGGAAAAATAACATTTCTTCAAAGAGTCAATTTGTACAGGGAATTTTTTTGTAAAATTTATTTTCCAGTCTCACATCTTCAAGCAATGAAGCTAACTAAATGAGTGAATAAAATATTTTGATCAAGTCTACATTAAGCCAGTTTAACCGATACACCAAGTCCTTATACAAGCCAGGCTACATATACATCAAGCTTAATATCAGACTTAATCAAATACAGAAAAAAAAACCTACCTCCCATTTCGAATTTGACTTTTGGGATTGGGAATTGCCGCCACTACTTCTGCTATCTTGAGATTTACTCCCTCCATTATTTCTACTGCTGTTATATTTCGTATCATTTGACTTAGACGTGGAATCACTAGAATTTTTCTTACTTTCACCAGAAGCACGGGAGCTGGCTCCAGATGAACGCTGTGATGATGAATCATAATAATCATTCTTTCGAGGATCTTGTGAATATTTATTTCCACGTTGATTATCCCGTGAACCTCCATTGTAATCGTTACGATAATTCTCATTCCGATAGTTTTCGTTTCGTTTTTGACGAGTCCTATCGTAGGTGTCACTGTCAGCATTATAACTGTTTGATTGGCTAGAAAAAAGTGAGCTCTCCGTGGATTCCTTCCCATATTTCTGAGCGAATCGAGGTGGCACAGTATTTTGACGTCTGTTATTATAATTGTGATTATCGTAAGATGAATGCGGTTTATCGTGATAAGTACTGTTATTATTATTATTAGTAGTCCGAGCACTGTAATTTGATTTAGTAGAATTACTAGTATATGAACTATTGTTTGATGACACTGTACTGTTACTTTTACTACTACTATTATAGTCTGTTCCACTACGAGGTTTTTGGTTATATGAAGAGCTACTGCTTGGTTTGGTTTCTGAAACGTAAATTGAAAATTTAGGAAATTTTTGCAAAAAAAGAATGTTACTTAGATCACATTTCAAGGACTCTAATGCAAACTCTGTTTTAATGTACAACATATTACTTAAAGGGACAGATGCACCATTTTGGGGAGTTGATTTGAGTCTTGATTATATGTAAATAGTCTTCAGAAGTACTAGAAATGTACGAAAATTGCATAATTCCTTCAAATATATCTCAAACTAGGAATTTCTTTTCCTTTTTCAATAGATGTCATTTTAACTTTCAAACAATAATAATTCTGGACACACATGGGTTTGAAATTTCCACAGTGAGCTGTGAACATAATTACTGATTAGCTAAAAATTCACGTTTCTGAGACTAAGGTATGATGGGTAAGCAAATAGCGCATCTGCCCGGGTGTAAATACATAAAGGAATAAATCCAAGGAATTAATTGCTTACCTTCTTTAACTGGTATTTTTGTGGTAAGGAAATCAAATAAAGTACTTGGTGCACTAGGTTGACTATTAGAAGAAGATTCTTCTACTGGGTTCCCTCCCCTTCTAGGCCGACTTGCTGCAAAACAAAGCACAAGGCAATACATGAAATGAATTTTTCTGTATCAGGAAGAGTAACAGCTTCTCAATTAACCAAACATAGTTCCTAGTCCTTCAGCAAACATTTTGTTCCATTAAAGATGGGTTTCCTTATTTTTTTAGTGTCAAATTAAGCAAATGTTTGTAATGAATTATCATTTATTCTTAATCATATCATTATGTTCTTATTGCATTTGATTAAGAGTTTTAACCAATCATAAATGTCCATGTATGTACAGTCTGGATAAAAAAAGACATTTTGACCTTTCTTGATCAGTCACTCATTAGAATTCTGCTGGTAATTCTCTTCTTATTTAGCTAATTATGAATTAATTATAGACATGTGAGACAAACTGGTATTTTTCAAAATCATTAGAACACCTACTTTCTATTCATATAAGTATTAGCATTTTCATTTTTATAAATAAAAATAAGGGAACCCATCTTTAAGTGGGGTGTTACCACATCACAATACCATAAAATTTTATCTCCCAACACAAATATCCTAGTAAAAATATGGGAAAAATGTGGCCCATTTTGAATCAAAACTTTGAGAAAGATGATTCTGCAGAGGACACCAACTTTAAATGGAAATATCAATATATATATATATATACTTACACATTTTATCTTTTTTATCAAATCTATCACTTCTATCATTACGTTCATTTCTCTCAGGTCTCTCATTAGACCGTTCTGGTTTATCAGACTTAGGACGACCTCTAGAGTTATTGCCCCTACTAAGTAGATTATGTATGGCTTCGTTGACATTGCCATTAGCAAAACGTAAAGCATTGGAAGCATCTTCTAGGGAAAATCCCATATCTATTATTTTAGCTACATCGTGATCTTCCAAAACCTACAAAAAAAGCTCATTATTTTAAGATAGGTTTTCAACAAAGAGATAATTGCATTATTTTTTCAAGAAAATTCATTGAAAAAAAATATTATAAAATTCGGCTTTTAACATGGTGAAAACTCTCAAAACCAACCCCCATAAAAAAGTGAGATTTTATTTTTGGCTCTAATAAGACAATATCCCATCTTTAATACGCCCGAGGAAAGGTTAAGGTCAAATTTGTCAGGCTACTTTATCTATACCTGTCCTGATGATGATTTCATATCCCAAACTTAAGCTAACCTCATAACATGAGCCTTTATTAAATTGAAAATAACTTACTATTTTGCCACCACCACCAAAGGTTTTAGTTTTTGTATCTTTAACTTGTATGATTTTTCAGACTACCTCATGCCCCATACATCCTGATGATGATTTCATATCCCAAACTCAAGTTAATCTCATAACATGAGCCTTTATTAAATCGAAAATAACTTACTATTTTGCCACCACCACCAAAGGTTTTAGTTTTTGTATCTTTAGCTTGTAAAGCTTCAGCTATAACAGCTTGTCTTTGTTGATGGAACTCATTCTGTTCATCTCCTGTTTTCTCTTTATTGGCATCTAATGACTTGAAATTATCTACATAGAAAATATTGTAAGTTTTAGTATTTTGAAGCTTTGGTTACAATATGGTTACAAGCTGCTGTAACCATGTGACGTTACTTAAAAAAGCTTGTTCACTATAAGTTTGACCAATCATACCTTAGTTTCAGAAACAGGAATTTTTTTAGCTTACATAATCAGTAATAGTGTTCACAGCTCATCGTTGAAATTTGAGCCTTCAAATCCATGTTTATCCATAATTATTCACGTTTGAAAGTTAAAAATTTGACTTGAATTTTAGTTAGACTATGCCATATATAGAAAACACATATATAGAAATACACAGTGAAATTTCTAGTTTGAGGTATATTTGAAGGGATTATGCGATTTTCGTGCGTTTTAGTACTTTTTAAGACTATTAAAGCATAAAATAGACCCAAATCAATCCCCGAAAATACCGACTGTTCCCCTTTAATATTAACATGCTTCAAGTTATAAAACTTGGCAATTCAAATTTTGATGTTTTATTTCATTTTCACTCAGTGCTCAATGGTTAAAAAATAAATTATGATAATGGTTATAGATGAAGTGACTTAAAAAGTGAATTCTTTCCGTATCAGCCAGTGTTATCAATATTCAAACTACCAAGTGAAATCGAACATACCTTTTCTAGGATTAGGTAATTGTGAGGTAACTTTTTGACCAAAAGGCACATAAGGAGGTGGTCCACCTTCAGAACGAATATTTGAACGGTTCTGATACTTTAAAGACTGAAACAAAAGAAATAAATCTATGAAATTTCTGGAATTCTGGACCTCGGCAACAAAAACAAGCCAGGGTTTCAACAGAAAAATATTATTGCATCAACAGTCTGGAAGTGATATTTTTAAACATTGAATTGAATAGTCCAAACACTATAACAATATTTTGTTGGCGTAAATTATCTGAACATCTAATATTATTGGGTCAAAATTCCACAGAACACAATTTAAGGAAAAATCTTGTCAGATTATGGATTGTGTAGACCTGCAGAAAAACATGAAACGTTAAGATCTGTATTTTAATTAGATTGAATTTTTTTCAAAATCTTACCCGTTTGAGTTCCCATGTTTCATACATTCTGTCTACACGACCGCCTAGATAACAAGTATTTTTATTATCAAGAAGTAGTATATTAGACTCTACACCCACTGTACCTTCTATCAATATCTTACAACCAGGTGCTGTATTAAACCTACAATGTACAATAGTAATACAATTATTGTAATAATTAAGGTTAAAGATGCAAATACTTATATGAATAGAAAGTAGAGGTGTTCTAATGACTTGGAAAAAAACCAGTTTGTCTCACATGTCCATAATTAATTCATAATTAGCTAAATTAGAAGAGAATTACCAGCAAAATTCCAATAAGGTCAAAAAGTCTTTTTTTGTTTATCCAGACTGTACATACATGGATATTTTTGATTGGTTAAAACTTTTAATTATATGCAATAAGAACATAATGATATTATTAAGAATACATGATAATTTATTAGAAACAACAATTAATCAAATAGTTTGCTTAATTTGACACTAAAAAAAAGGAAACCCATCTTTAGCCAAAAACACAGAAAGAAACATGCATATGTTATCTATTTCATGAATCATCTGTATCCCTTTAGTGCTTGGTTGACTAATTCAAGATTCACCAGACTGCAAATGACATCAAGATTTAGACCCACTAACTGAATGAGCTACAGTCTACCATAAAAAGCTTCAAGTTTTCCAAGTTTACATGAAAATTGTTTTCATTGCCTACAAGCTCCCTTTTATTATTTCTCCTAAAATCCAACACTTACCCGATACTTTTTAAAGGTTCAGTTTCTACCGCAGTACAACTCGTATGACCATCAGTTAAGACAAATTTCATCATTCTCGGGGCTCCCTGTGATTCTTCATTATCTTTTGGTGCTGCTATATTCTTTAGTTTGGTTAATTGTAATACCACTGGACCTTGTACCTGAAGAAATAAAATGGCATTATATTAAATTATTGATGTATTAGGTGAAAGATGGGTTCCCTGATTTTCATTTATGAACATGAAAATAATAATACTTATATGAATAGAAAGTAGAGGTGTTCTAATGACTTGGAAAAATACCAGTTTGTCTCACATGTCCATAATTAATTCATAATTAGCTAAATTAGAAGAGAATTTCCAGCAAAAAAAAAATGTCATTGCAATAGTCAACCATGCCTTCGTAAGGCACTGAAATTGTACCCATCAGTAAATTAAGAATAAAATAAAGAAACCTACATAGTCCAGTTTTCCTCTTAGCAAACCTTCTGGTACCCATTTTGCTCCTATCTCTCTCAAATCAGTCTGAAAAAACATCATGTTCTAAATTACAATATATTTGCTTTGGATGAACCTAATTATGGTTGTTAAAGCTTAAATTCATTCTTTGCAGTGTGAAGTCTATTGATGGTCAAACAATATTTTATTGACACAACATTAACAGAAAATTTAAGAATTCTAAACTTGGCAATTAAGAGCCAGTAGATATACCTGGTGTCATAAATAACATAACAGGATCCTTATATCATCTGATAAATCCAAAAAACTTAGTAATTATCCATAAATATGCAATTAACTATTTAAAAACGCTTAATATCAAGATTAAGCGTTTTTCAATAATTACTAAGTTGTATGAATTTTCCAATTTTCCAGAGATTCTGTTGTAACTTTAAGACACAAGGTAAGTTCACTGATGAATATATACTCATATTGACCATTTTGAGAACTTAAATTTTATGTTCATTCTATGACGTAGTATCACTTTTAATATATAAATACACCACAGAGTATTCTGAAGATCACAATACATGAGTAACAACATGTTTCAGGTTCTGTTTTACCATTTCAAATGTCATTAAAACATTAATATTAGAAACGGTACAATACATGAATACTGGTAGTCAAAGAGTATTCTTCACCATGCTGATGATTATCAGGAACACTTTTTGTTAGTACCATTCTGACACAATTTTTACAAAATCCAAGACTTACATTTAGAGCATTTTTGACAATAACATCAACTCTATTATTTCCATCTTCAGAACATTCTTTGATTCCTGATTCTGACAAATGCCTGCAAGTGGAAATAAAATGAAATCAATGGAGTTTTACATCCTACTTTTCTGCACCACGTTAGCTAATGAAGACGAGCAACACCATGCAGGGTGCAATGAGGAAATTTTGTCAGGACAGCGGCATTAGCCTGCTCATTTTCCATTTCCAACTGTCAAGGATCTTTAATAACGTGCACAGCCTGCTTGAAGAAAGATATTCAAAATAATTGGATGATAATAATCTTCCATCCCTTCTGCCTAGCTTGTATACGATTTGTGGGCAAATAGCCTTCTTCAACATTATCTTATTATACATATATTGTTAACTGTGCATTATGTCCACATAATTAGTATTTCTTTCATTTGTATTGGAATTTTTTATAATGTTATAATTTCACCGGGCAAAATTGTAAAGAGGCCTTTGGCCTATTTTCACCCTTGTCATTAAAGATTTTATCATTATTATTATTATTGCATGTATCTTTTTAAGGACATATCTACAAGTGTGGACACTGAAAGGATACCATTATCGTTCTCACAATTTCAATTCACCAGCTAATGCCAATGGACCTGGAGATTGCCATAACAATTTCATTGTCTGAGTATCACCTTCTTGCTTGTGGGTGGTATCGAAAAGAGTGTGACATACTTAGAGTAAATTATTACTTCACAGGAAATTGGACGTGTAGTGGCACTATAGGAGTGTAGGAATGTGGTGTGTGGTGTGGCATTGTATGTGTTACATTGTATGTGTTGTGTTGTATGTGTTGCCTTGTATGTATTGTTATTGCTTGTTACTGAATAAATAATTGTCTCCCTTTAATATGACAAAATCTGTCACTGAGTTGACTCGGCAAATATTGTCGCTGAATGATATTTTGTCAGCGAATTAACCAACAAAAATTTGTCGCCGAGTTGACCGAATACCGTATTTATGGGCTACCCTATTCCCTGTAGATCTTAATGTAGTTTCAGTGGGGTATTTTGAGTGAAGTTCATAATTATAAAAGGTAGATAAGATCTAGTCTAATAAATATATTTTCATTGTTTTTTTCCCCTACTTTCTAAATCTAATAAATAACCATAGTACATATGAGTCATTTCATTTATCATTAATACATCTTCCGATTTGTCTAGGCTATAGAAACCTATAAAGTACCATTCACCATGACAAACAATTCCACAATGTTCCACAAAATGCCAGAGTGTAGGCTAGAAGAAATTAGTTCACAGATAGCATCAACAAGAACGGAATGTCTGCAATATTTCATTGCAATATCCATTTCCCACAAACGTTTAAGCAGGATTGGGACAATCAATATGAATTCTAATCGTTTAAGTCATTAAAAATGTATTGTCGAGTTTGTGAAAGGTTGATTATTGACTGAGAATGTATAAAAACTTTTGACACATACCATCCTTTCCTCGCCAATTCATCACCCGCCATCTTACCGACCTAACAGTAAGCTCTGATTTGATTGGTCAAATAACCACAATGTCTGCTACCGTATATAAACCATGCATGGCACGAAATATCTCATTTATTTTTGCCACCAAATATGACGTCTGGCAAAAAAAGAATAAATGGGTTTAAAAGATTTTGACAGATTTTACAAGGCCAAATTATTATTCACAGTTGTCAATGAATGATTTTATTACTGAATCATATTTTTGGACGATCGCGTAAACAGGTGGCCGCCCTGATGTCACAGCGCTTTTGATAGGCTGCTTGTGTCCTCAGTTGACCCAATCGGTCATTCTTGACAAATCGGTGCCAATGAGACAAACTCGGTCTTCATTAAATTTTGCCTCAACATTATTCTCGATTATCCAGATGCATGAGATAGGTACTTGTTAATTGGACTACTTCCGCTTTCAAAATGGCTGCTGTTTGACTTAAAATGATGCAAAAAGCAAAAAAAAAAAATATTTTTTTGCCATAGCTGAGGATATTTTATCAAAACTTTGTCAAAAAATGAAATACTGATTGATATGACGAAGAACTATTTCCTTTATCGCAATGAGACCCCAAGAAATGAGTGATAAGTCTTTCCAAATATGGTCATGTACATAATTTGGGTTAATTCACAAATTTGTTCTACTTGGAGTGAATAACGAAACTTTTCACGTTCATTCCGATTTCTAACTTGTGTACATATTGTAATGGCGGAAATGGATGACTAAATGGGAAATGACACTGTCTTGGTGACTTGAATTTGAGTATTTTCTACATTCAAATTATAAATAGAAACTTTTACGAATGACAGATAAATCGTCTGCAGTGTGAAATAGCATGAAACAAAATTTATATGATTGGACAAGACAAGGAAAGTTATTTTTAGAACATAAAAACTGTGCCAAAAAAAATATATGACCAACCAAACTTTAACAACACAAAAAAAAAGAACAGATTTTGACTGCTTGGCCTTTTATTCTTTGAGAGACATTGTGATATCTAATTCAATTGAAACCTAACTCTTTGACTCTAGGCCTACTATACATGCAATTCATAGTTTGTAGGATGTGAAAACTGACTTGAAATTTGTTTGTTGTTCTTCATTGTTTAAGAGTTAAAAGGCCGCATGATATTTTGGTCATGTTCATGTTGGATTTATTTAATGACTGTTTTGTGTGGATTTAATAATAAAGTGGTTGGATTAATTATACCTGAATAAAATGGATAAGAAGGATGCAACTAAAAGGAATAGCTTCGTAAGTATTGTGTTTGTTTTTTTCCTTTATAGCTTTGATCTAGGCCCACTAGTAACTTAATTTCTTTTTCTGTTTTTTAACTTATAATTTCAATGACAATGGCTGAAATAATCCTCTTTTTCTTTTTTCATTGTTGACAATAAAATGAGTAATCAGCTGACACATCTGAATTATTGGAATTGTTGAGAATTGAAGAGGGCTAGGCCTCAGCTAGGCTACTGCACGTAATTAGGGTTTAAAGTCATCCATCTGTTTTTGTATAGTTAGTCAGAAGATCTTCAAAGAGAATGACATATTGTTTATGGTTAAAAACTCTGAATCATACTATTAAGAGTGAGATTTTCTTCTATATAAGCTTAGACAATGTTGATCGTCATTTCATCACAAGTTTGCGTTTTGATTGAGTCTAGGCATATCTCATATAGGACACTGGGCTTGGCTTAGGCTTTGTACACTTACAATCTTATCCATTTGACAAAATACGTGGCTCTATATCTTTATAACTAAAAATCATCCACCTGTTTTTGCACAATAAGTCCGAAGATCTTCAAAGTGAATGACATATTGTTTATGGTTAAAGACTCTGAATCATACTATTAAGAGTGAGATTTTCTTCTATATAAGCTTAGACAATGTTGATCAAAGAGAGTCTGGTAGGCCTGGGACCTCATTTCATCACAAGTTTGCATTTTGATTGAGTCTAGGCATATCATATGGTACACTGGGCTTGGTTTAGGCTTTGTACACTTACAAGCATATCCATTTGGCAAAATACGTGGCTCTATATCTTTACAACTAAAGAAAACTATTTGACATCCATTGAGTAAATTAGGGAACCAAAAGTAGTTGCAGGGGTTGCCCATTGTGGGTTCTGTAAATTAGCTGGTGTGGTGTTTGATTAGTTGAGTGGTTAACTATGTTTGATAACAATTAACTTTATTAGTAATTATGTTAATTAGTATAACAATGGTGATATTATTAGTCATAAGAGTGTTAATCTGTCAATGAATTATAAACCAAGTATTAAATTTCCTTTGAATATCAATTATTAGAATGGGTATAGTGTTATAACACTGCTACTGTTGACTA